CCTCCTCCTACTCCTCCTCCTCCTCCTCCTCCTCCTCGAGAAGGGCCGTTATTCTGGGTTTCTCAATAAGCGTGGTGGGGTACGCCCCCGCCGTGGGTCAACCTCGCCTCGTCGTCGCGCCGCGACGGGGCTCGGAGCGCCTTCGGCGCGCGGTGTCTGCCCGCGACGGGAGTCGACGTGGGGCTGTCGACGGAGGTGACGACCCCCCGACGCTTATCAAGAAATTACCCCAGTGCGACCCTACCTAGAAGTTGGAGCCCCTAGGAAAGCAGCATTAGTTGCTATGCTATGCGATGCTATGTTATGCCATGCTATGCTGCGCTATGCTATGCTATGCTAAGATATGCTATGCTATGCTATGCTGCGCTAGGCTATGAAATGTTATGCTAAGCTATGATTTGATATGTCATGCTGCGCTGTGCTATGCTAAGCTATGATATGTTATGCTAAACTGCGCTATGATATGCTATGTTATTATATGGTATGATATGCTATGCTGTGCTATGCTATGCTATGCTATGATATGATTGGCTATGTTATGCTATGCTATGCTATGTTAATGCAGCGCTGCACTATGCTAAGCTAAGCTAAGTTAAGCTAACCCTCTAGGCAGAGCCTAGGTAGGGAATTACACCCATGCTAATTGCCCGAACAGAGAACTAAACTGGCAACGCGGTTGGCACACACGAGCGCCAAATAGCTAAGATGAAACTAAGCTAAGCTAAGATGAAATAAGCTAAGCTAAGATGGGATAAGCAACGCTAAGCTAAGGGGACGTAACTGGGGGAACCGCGGGGCGGATACTGGGGGAACCGCCCGGGGCGCTGTCCACTGCCCGGCCCCTTTAAGCCCAGAGAGTAAGAACCCTTCTAGGCGGAGCCTAGGTAGGGAACTTGGACTTTGTTTTATCGGCGAGGACCATCGAGGAGCATGCTGCATCATCTTGCGGAAAAAAGGAAGCGCACGACACCAAAAAATGCACGGGGAGTGGACGTCCGAGCGATGGCGAGGAGGGGGGTCGGGGGAGAGGGGGGATGCTTCTTGGAAGCACCCCTGCTCCTCGGATGGAGGCCGCATCTCGCCCGAAGGCCGCATCGAAGCCCTGCCAGGCTCCCGGCTCGGCTCGTGATGCGCCAGTGCGTAGACTTTCGGTCAAGGGCCGACCACAACGCTGTCTAGTCAGGTCTTGGCCCTTGCTTTGTTTTCCGTGCTGTTCTTCGTTGTGCTTCCGTTGTGTTGCTCGCTCTTGTTTTGACCGCGAGGGGCTGCGCGAGGACCCCATCGGGCACGTCCCAAAGCTCGCGGCCATGGCCAGAGCGCCCTGTGGCCGGGCCAGCGCGCCCACGTGCCGCGCAGCCAGGCCCGGGCGCCATGACGGGCTCATTTGGGGAACCCGCCGACGTGCACGATGGAAGCACCCCTGCTTCTGGGACGGCGGGGGCCTTACCCATCGGTCGTTGACAGTCTGTATGTTTGGATTCCCAGATTCCAACCTGCTTTAAGCGCCTTCCTACTTCAATGATCGAGTGGCTTCACCTTTTCTGCCCTCATGAGGAGGCGGACGGAACCCAGTCTACTTTCAACGCCTTCCTACTGAATGTTTCTGCCCATTTTTTTCCGACCGATGGGCATCTGTAGATGCAGGGCTGGCGCCTTCGAAGAAGCAGCTTCCGTCCAAGAGGCCTCCCCCCCTCCCCCCCTGCGCCCCTGGTGCGCGCCGCCAAGGACGAGGAGGGCGACGATGCGGCGCGGGGCAAGCGCCGCCGCGGCGCAGGCGCCGCCCCCGGCGCGCCGGCGGTCAGCACCCGGGCTTTGGGGGAGGACCTCTCGGTGGTTCAAAGATGGGGTCCTGAGGGACGGGGTCCTACACCCTGCGAAATGCTTAAGAAATCATGGGTTAAGAAATTCATAGTCTCAGAAATTGAATAAAACCCAGAACTTCTATCAAAATCTTCGGATTTACATTGAAAAATTAAGAATCATCGAGACTCTGGACGAAAACTTAGGTTTTCTTAAGCATCACCCAAGGTGTAGGGACGAGGTGCCTCAGGCATTGCAGATCAACCTTCGAGTCCCTTCGTATCCTTGGGGCCCCATCCTGGAGGACCCCATCTTGAGGGAAGCAAGCAATGACATGAACATAAAAACTCGGAGGTCCGCGCGGATTTCGCGGATCGGCGCTGGACCCCCCTCCCTGGCGCGCCGAGCGCGCCAGGGGCGCCGGAGGCGCCGCCAGGAGGCCCCAGCGCCGATCCGAGACATCCGCGCGGACCTCCGAGTTTTTATGTTCATGTCATTGCTCGTTCCCCTAATCTTTAGTCGGGCCTGTCCCCCTACAGGGGGAATTTCGACGAAAATGAAAAAGTACCCCAAAAATAGGACAAACATAGTCTGGGGATTATTTTTTTGAGTATGTTTCGACCTTTTTGGGGGGTATTTGGGGGGGCATTTTTGATTTTTCGTCGAAAATCCCCCTGTACACCTTAGGCGATGCTTAAGAAAACCTAAGTTTTCGCCCAGAGTCTCGATTATTCTTAACTTTTCAATGTAAATCCAAAGATTTTGATAGAAGTTCTGGGTTTTATTCCATTTCTGAGATTATGAATTTCTTAACCCATGATTTCTTAAGCATTTCGCAGGGTGTAGGGGGACACGCCCGACATAACCCTAATCTTTGGACCACCGAGCTCTCGTGCTCGGCGAGGGCCTGGACGCCGGCGCCGCCCTGGAGGAGCTGCGCGCCAGGGCCGCGGAGGTGGAGCGCGTGGTGCGCGCGGCCCTGCCCGACGTCTTCGGCCCGGGCGCCCGGGAGGACTCCTCCTCCTCCTCCTCCTCCTCCTCCTCCTCCTCCTCGTCCTCCTCGTCGTCGTCCTCCTCCTCCTCCTCCTCCTCCTCCTCCTCCTCGTCGTCCTCCTCCTCCTCCTCCTCCTCCTCGTCCTCCTCCTCCTACTCCTCCTCCTCCTCCTCCTCCTCCTCCTCCTCCTGTCCTCGTTCTCCTCCTCCCTCCTCCTCCTCCCTCCTCCTCCTCCTCCTCCTCCTCCTCCTCCTCCTCCTCCTCCTCCTCCTCGTCCTCCTCCTCCAGGAGTACGAGGAGCAGACGGGGAACTTCTGCTCGCTGCGCGCCGACCAGGCCCGCGACGTGGAGGCCCGCCTGCGCCGGCTGGTGCCGCACGTGTTCGGCCAGGGCGGCGGCGGGCCGGTCGAGGTGGCAGACGCGGCCGCCTTGGCCGCGTGGTGCGGGCGAGCCCGCGCGAGGCTGGCCGAGGCGGGGGCGCTCGCTGCCAGGGCCGTGGGGGCGACCAGCAGCGACGAGGAGCCGTGAGGCGCGGCCGGGGAGGCTGCGCGCCCCTGCGGGGTCCGGCAGCAGAGGCGCGGTTCGGCGTCCTGCGCTACTGGAGGGCGGCAAAACGAGCAGCTGATGTGAGGCAGGTGTTTCGTGTGTGCGAAGGGAACGTTTGTTTGCCAGCGTGGACCCCGAACAGTGGATTATCACATTGTCGATGTGCCGTAGTTGTGGCGCGGTCCGTATACGGTGCAGGCGCTGTCTTGCAACGTAGCTGGTGCAGTTTCTGCGGTGCTATGTATGTGGTGCAGACCTGTTGATGAATACGTGGTGCAAGCTGGGTGCAATATGCGTTGCGTACTTGTGCATGCAAACATGATGTGTACACGTTGTTATGTATATATGTAGATTCTATAATATATGTCAGATAGGTGTACGTATCTAAATGTGGAGGTTTGAGCATGGTGTGAGGTCTGTGTGGTCAATCTGAGTGGTGCGATCTCTGGAGTGCAATCCACGGTTCCCCAGACAGCGCCTGCATTTAAAGAATGTCTATTTGTTTCTGCTAGGCACTTGGATTGGTGTGGCGGGGTTTCGGCTGGTGCCCAGCCGTGAGCGCCTCGG